TTGTAGTGGCCTTCGGCCAGTGCCGCCGATCCGGGTCGCTCGGTGTTATTCTCCAGACGCAGACATGATGGGCGCACACTCAAACGCACAAACTTCTCGGGTTACCTTCGAAAGGGCGTAGGAATGCAGTTGGGTCAATAGAGCCATCTCGCAACAGTGGTTCTATCAACGGCGGGGTGCTTGCAGTGACCGTGGGGACGGGAAATAATAATGACATGAAATTCCATACAGGATGCCGATCACTTTGGAAACTCACGATACGTCGTGCACGGAGTCATGTTACGAAACATGTGGCCTGGACGATGTGGTGCGAGCGGTGGAGGCGAGCCTATCGGCGCAAGGACGCCCTCTTGGGGCGTTTTTTGAGCCATCTTAGGAGCCTGTCAGGGCGTCGTGGGGGCTTCTTGGGGGCTTTCGGAGGCCCTCTTGGAGGCTCTTGGGGCCTCCTGGGGGCCTCGTGGGCTGGAAGGCTAGATTTTACCGCTTTTCGTCACTCTTTTGGGTCCTCTTGGGGCCGTCTTGGGGGCCTGTTGGGCCGTCTTGGGCGGCTCTTGGGCCGCCTTGGGGCCCTCTTGGGCCGTTTTGGGACTGTCTGGGGGCCTCCTGGGCCGTCTTCGAGCGGTCTTGGGGGCCTCTTGGGCCGTCTTGGAGCGTCGGAAAGCAGAAAAAACGACAACCCCCAAAACATTGGAAAAACCAATGGGAATCAACGATTTTTGCCTCTGGGGGCCATCGTGGGAGGCCTCTTGGAGGCCTCTTCAGACGTCGTGGAAGGCTCTTGGGCCGTCTTCGGGCCATCTTGGGCGTGTTCGGGCGATCCTTCGGGGTCTCGGGACTTTCGTAGACCGTCCTCAGAGACTTTTGCGGCCGCGGCCACCCTTCCAGCGCATCCTCGAGATTAGAGCCTTCTGTAAAAGCAGCGCCCCGCATCCGCCGGAAACTCGCCCCCCCCCCCATCCCCCCTTCCCCGGCAGAGCCACCCCGGCAACCCCCCCAGAGGCTGAGGCTCAGCCTCGAGGCTGTAGCTGAGACTCCTTGAAACTCACACGCCGGATCGGCGGATATACACACTTATGTTTTCCGAAGGGAATGGGCCTATGTTTGCTTCTTGGAGCGAAGCTTCGTGGAGGCCTCTTCGGGTGTCTTGGGGACATATTCGGCTGTTGGGGGCGTCTTGGAACGATCTTTCGACTGGGGGCCCTCTTGGACCGTCTTGGGGACCTCTTCGGACCCTCTTGGCCCGTTGTGGAGCCCTCTATCCCCCCATGGCGCGTTCGTCCCGGGTTCACACGGGGCCCGGGGGGGTAAAATTCCCGGTCTGGAATCCCAGAGCGGGGGTTATGAGAGGAGAAATCTCACATGCCTAGAGACCCACAAGGGGTCGGCGGATTCAATGATTCCGATCTGTTGGATCAGCCCCAGGGCCTCCAAAACAGCAACAAATGCGCCCGTGAGGCTCCATGATGGGCCCAAGATCACCAGAGGCCATGCTGGAAGTACAGAATCAAGAATCCCAGCCACGCTCCCGAGGCCTCTGGAGAATGCGCGCGAGACGCCACAGGAATCCTGCGGGAAACTCCGCCTCTTGGGCCTCTTCCGTTTCTCCGTGAAGAGTTCGAGCGCAGGATTCAAAGGGACCCGAGGGCAGTGCCTTCAGTGCTTGCGGCACGGTGGCGGAACTTGACGACGAAGATGGTGGTGATGGTGGGCACACTGAGCAGGGTGATGTTGCCGATGCTGTTTACGAGGGGGAGAGTGAGGAGCGGCGGGTGCATGAGCAAGGGGATGTCGACGCGTGGAGAACATGTTGGCGCGCAGGATGTCCTTACGGTAGGTCCACGTCGTGTCGACCAGCGGCGACCCCGCCGCGGGTGTTCAAGGTTGAACGCCGCCAGTGGCCCAGAATCGGCCTATATGGAACGATCGGGCGATCGAAAAGCCGCCGATCGTTCAAGGTTGAACGATCCACGCGGTGTCAAAAACCAACGCCGGGGTCGTCACGACACGAACCTGCCGTACCAGGACTGGCGTCTTCCAGCCGAATTCGCCAGCCTGGCTGTACCCCAGAGGCTTCGAAGCCACGTCGGAGAGTTGGGTGGCGGTGGTAGTGCTGGTGAGGTGGCGCTTACGTCGACGTTGAATCGTGTGGATGACGTCGGCGGCGGCGCCGACACCGAGTCGAGTGCCGATGCCGATGCCGATGTTGGTGAGAACGGTGGCGCCGATAATGTTGGCGCTGACGCTGGTGCGGACAAAACGCGGTCTGACATGCATTTCCTGACATCGTGGACGCATGCCCCAGGGCGGCTGGAAAGTTTGCCCCCATGTGCCGCCGCAGAGGTTATAAACTTCCCAGCCGCCCCGGGACACTTAGCACCGATGGTGGACCAGCTCTTGTGTTACAGCTCTTTGTCCGCTAAGGCAGCATCAGCGGCAGCACCGGCATCATCGACACCACCGCTCCCACCAGCATCGGCATCGTTCTCGGCATCTGACTCGGCGACGGGGCCGCCGCCGACGGCGTCGTCATCGTGACGTTGACCGAGGCGACGAGCACGAGGACGGGGACGTCGGGATCAGCATCGTTCTCGGCATCTGGCTCGACGACGGTGCCGCCGCCGACGGCGTCGTCATCGTGACGTTGACCGAGGCGACGAGCACGAGGACGGGGACGTCGGGATCGGCATCGTTCTCGGCATCTGACTCGACGACGGTGTCGCCGCCGACGGCGTCGTCATCGTGACGTTGACCGAGGCGACGAGCACGAGGACGGGGACGTCGGGATCGGCATCGTTCTCGGCATCTGACTCGGCGACGGGGCCGCCGCCGACGGCGTCGTCATCGCGACGCTGACCGAGGCGACGAGGGCGACCGCGCGGACGTCGGGGTGGAGGGGGCCTCGCGGTGGCCCGCGCGCGCGGCCCGAGGGGCGCCCGGAGCTCGTGGTCACGGAGGCCACGGGTCCCTTGGTCCTCGCCCTGGAGGACGAGGACCTTGCCTCAGGTCGGGCATGTCCCTCTGCAGGCTCGGGAGAAAGATTTTCGATGTTCGTTTTGGGGACCTTCCTGGGGCCCACCTGACGGAGCTGTTCGACTCCAGTTCGGCCCCAGTTCGACTCAGTTTTGACTCAGGTTCGGCTTGAGTTCAACTCAGGCTCTACTCGGGTTCGACTCAAGGTCGGCACCATGGAGTATAACCATGGATTTGGTGGCAAATCATGGGAGCCGGGTGTACCCTCATGATTCCGTCTTTAGCGTCCATTAGCGTTTGGGAGTCGATGAGATAGCGCCGGTTTAGCGTCGATTTTAGCGTCAACTAGCGTCGATGTGGTGTCGACGCGCGTCGATTCGCAAGAGCCGACTATATGGTGTGGGAGGCTCCCATGAGTTGCCACCGACCACGAGCCTTTGCAGGTCTGCGGATGTCCCTTTGATCCGTGGCGCGCCCCCTCTGGCGGCTCCCCGCACGTTAGGGAGTGGGTTCAGTCGGGCTTATCCCTCTACAGGAGGAATAATCAAAAATAGTCCACAAATCGTCTGGGGGCGATATTTTGACGATTCTTGATAATTTTGTAGCATTGTTTGACTACGTTCAATACGCCTACAGGGGGACATGTCCGACTAACATTCAACTTTTTATCAGGAGGAGTGGTCCTAGAGGTCTTGTGCGAGGTCTTGTGCGGGATGTCTTGCGCGGTCTTGTGTGGGCTACCGTGTCGGTCTCCGGGCGTCGATTCCCGCGTTCTCTTGCCTCGTTCTCCTGCACAGGGCGATGTGTGCGCGTCTTGTGCGCGCCCACTCTTCGCTCGACCACCGGTTCTGTTGAATTATCTGTTCAAGCCCCCAGCCCCCAACACTTCCTAAGATTTTCGGCCCCCCACCTCTGCGCCACGGAGCGCCGAGCCCGCCCCCAGAGGCGATGCTCGGGAAAAGCCATATGGGCCGAAAGCCCCCTGAGTGCTGAGCAAGAAGGGCCACGAGCACCCACGAAATCTGCAATGGCAGCGAGCCAATGGCTTCCAGCCAGCGAACCCCTGCTCGCACGCGGTCTCTCTCCCCCCCCCAGCCCCCGAGCCCCCCCCCCCAAGGACGCGCTCGCAGGCCTCGCCGCGCGACGCCTCGGCTCGGCAGGGGGTGGGGGGGCACATGCCACCCGCGCAGCACGCGCACGCCCCCGGCACCGAGGGCCCCGAAAGTCGGCCCACCCAGAGAGGGGGGAGAGCTCGGGGACCCCCCCCCCCGAGGGCCGTTCGGACGCGCTCCCAAGCGAGGATAGCCACCGCCTGGGGAGATCGACCTCCGAGGACGTTACCCTCTGCCTGCCGACGTTCCAGAAGGTCGAGCTCCCCGGGCGGTGAGTCGCCCACTCACTCAAGCCGTGCGCAGTCTGGCGCGTGGGCAGGCGAGCAGGTGCAACCATCCGCGCCTGGAAAGGCACGAACCGCGGCACACGGCTGAATGGAGACAGGATGATGATGATGATGATGATGATGATGATGATGATGATGATGATGATGATGATGATGATGATGATGATGATGATGATGATGATGATGGTGATGGTGATGGTGATGGTGATGTGATGGTGATGGTGATGGTGATGGTGATGATGATGATGATGATGATGGTGGTGGTGGTGTGGTGATGGTGATGATGATGATATGAGGATGAGGATGAGGATGAGGATGAGGATGATGATGATGATGATGATGATGATGATGATGATGATGATGATGATGATGATGATGATGATGATGATGATGATGATGATGATGATTATGATGATGATGATGATGATGATGATGATGATGATGATGATGATGATGATGATGATGATGATGATGAGGATGATGAGGATGAGGATGATGATGAGGATGAGGATGAGGATGAGGATGAGGATGAGGAGGGAGGAGGAGGAGGAGGAGGAGGAGGAGTAGGAGGAGGAGGAGGAGGAGAAGACGAATAAGAAAAATAAACAGACGACGAAGGAGGAGGAGGAGAAGGAGGAGGAGGAGGTGAACATATCCCCGATCCGCCTCGCAGCCTTGGGCCATGGGGCCACCCCCCTCGGCGGCCCCCCCCCCGCGCGGAGACCCCCGCGCTCGCCCTCGCCCAGGACCCGAGGTGCGGCGGCGCGTTCCTCTCCGCGCTGGCCGCGCGCCCGGGCGGGGGCGGCGCGCCCGCGGCACGCGAGGCGGCTGCCGAGGGGGTGTCGGGGGCGCCCAGGATCGGGGGTCAGGACTGCAAGTGGGCCGATGTGTAGGAGGGAGATCGGTTCGCGAAGGAGTGTTAAGGAAGGCGGAGTAGGGTGGTGATGATGATGATGATGAGGAGGAGGAGGAGGAGGAGGAGGAGGAGGAGGGGGCGGAGGAGGAGGAGGAGGAGGAGGAGGAGGAGGAGGAGCAGGAGCAGGAGGAGGAGGAGGAGGAGGAGGAGGAGGCTCGAGGGCAGGCCGCTTGCGGGGGGGGGGGGGGGGGGCGCCTCGCAGGAGCCTCGGCCCCGCCATGGACCGAGGTATGCGATCGAGATCGGTTCGGGAAGGGTACCCTAGAATCATTCGTGTTTGTTCGGCGCCTCGCAGGAACCTCGGCCCCGCTCTGGACCGAGGTCTGCGATCGAGATCGGTTCGGGAAGGGTACCCTAGTGTTTTCGTGTTGGTTGGGTGCTCTTGTGCATCCTGGGGGCGGTACCCTTGGATGTTCTTGTTGTTTTGGCCGACGGAGGGTCTCGTGTTCTTGAGGGATGCCCGAGATCGTGGGGTCAGTATTAGGGGGGGTCGACTACATGTAAGAGTGACCTTTCGCCGGAGTGGCCTTGAGTGCGGGCCCAATGGGGACCCCCGATCGCTGAACGCGAAGCGGTAGCAGCGGCTTGCGCGCCTGCGTTTGGCTACCTCGCGTCCCCCTTGAAGCCGCGCACCAAAGGCTACCCTTTCCCAGGGTCACTCTTACTTGCCCCCGCGGGGGGGGATCAGCCAGGCCTCCCAGACGGGGTCCTCGCAGATGGGGTCGGGGGATCGCGCCGCATCGCCGGATGCAGCGTCGATGCGGCTCGATGTGTAGCCCGATTTTCTCCAATTTGAAACTTGTTTGAAGGTACCATGCATGGCAACGTGCGATGCGATATTGGGCCGCCTCCACCCCCACGCAGGCTTACAACAAAACGCCACAAACCACAGCCACCAACATCCGACCACGACCTACGGGGCCAGTGGATTGGCATTGCTATCTTTGGTCTTACATGGGTCGCTATTGAGTGTGCTGTGGGACACATGCGTGGCGGAGACGACGCAAGAACAGCCGGCCCCCATTGGGACCCGGCCGATGAAGGACCTTTCCGCGAATTCGCTCGAGAGGTACATGCCTGGATCAACGTGACCGCAGGCAATATGACGCCTTCCCAACAAGCTGCAACACTGCAGCGTGGTCTGGGAGGTCTTGCACGGACCATGGCCATGAGAGTTTCCCCCGCAGTCATCAATTTTGGCGTTAACATTGGTGGCCGTCATACCGATGGCGTCACCTACATCATGTTCCTCCTTAGCACGAAGTTTGGGAATTTTGAGGAGGAGCGTCGATTCAACTCGGTCATAGACTTTCGAGTCCGTGCGGGAGAACGGATCGACCAGACATTTGGCACGCTTCGGGATAGCCCGCAACGAGGCTGAAATGGCAGGCTTTCACATCCCCAACTTCCAATTCCTAACAGCTATTCTGTTCAGAGCCTTAGGAGTGGGGACGTCGCGTGCTCAACAACTCCTACAGCCACTCAACCTTCAAATGCAGAGGAATCAACAACACTTGGGGTCTCCACTTGAATGCATGAGGTCATACGCTCACATTGCTGAGCGATCCTTGGCATTGTTGGTGGTATCTTTAGCCACGGTCATCGTGCCGAAACCTTTCATGCTGAAGCTAACGCAGGGCAGCCTGCTTCAAACGTCTGGAATGACGATCCGCAACCAACGGAGACCACCGCACTAGTAGCCCAAAATGGTGGTCTTGCTGCGATGTCGCAAGACATTTGGGCCAGATCTCCGGGGCCCTCGGCAGCGGCGGCCCCTACGCAAGCCACTACCCTTGTAGGCTCAGCGGGGCAAACCGCCGAGTCTGACGTCGACTCCGGAACCGACGCCGACGCGTCATCAGACGCCGCAGCGACGTCTCTAGACTACTCCGATATGCCCGCATATTTTTCGGAAGACCAGCAGGATCAATGGCTGTTTCTAGAGTATCAGAAACATAAACGCAGATGGAGACGGCTTATGAAGAGGCCAATTCGCAAGGTACGACGTACTATCCGACGGGCACTTAGGGGGAACTGCATGGGTCGAGGCAAGGGTAAGGGCAAACGGCGGCGATTGCATGGCAGAGGTCTGCTAGCATTCCTGGCATCTTTTACTGGGCCACGGCATTAATGATTTTTCCCGGGCGCAGGCAGGGGCCGTGGGCGCGCCTCGGGAACCCGAAGGATGCTAACGGTAAAACCATGGAATGTGACATCTGCCATAGTTCACAACGTCTCCGCCGTGAATGCCCCCGAGGCGATGGGGGGGGCAGGGGTCCGACAATACATTTGGCCCAGACTGATTCGAACATGAAGCGTGTCGATTTGGAGACGCTGTGGGCAGACCCTGCCGGCGATCCTTCCGCAGTTATTTACTTCATGGCTGCCGGGTATCTAAGTGCCAGCATGTCCCTCGAGCGGTGCGCCGATGGAGCTCTTCGAGGCGATCTGCGTTGGCACGCCGAGATCAACCTGGCAGATTGGCTAGGCATAACCATCGCGGGGCAACGGGCACATATCGAATTTGTTGAGGATTTCCATATGCCCGCCGACGTAGATCAGGAGATGGCGGGGCACCTGCGGATTCTGAAGCTACATGTCCAGCGACAGAAGAGGAAATGCAAATGATGCTTTATCCTCGGGTAATTGGTAATCAGTCAAACATAGAATCATCATCATTTGCGGGGAAGCCCGCGAGATGCTGGCGACCTTTCAGAAAGCGTCCAGCGCGAACTTTGACATGCTGAAGATCGTTATTTCACATTCGTGGCCCATGGGCGGTTTCCGAGCCGCCATGAGCGATCAGCTAGTCACCAAGTCTGGAGACGCGCGAACCGCTCAGATGATGACGAAGACGAGTGGGAAGCTGAGGACCGACGCGTGCAGCGCCGCGGTCGCGTCCGCAGCCGCTCACGCGGGCACTCGCGCGCGCGCTCTAGCGGCGCCTGGCGCCCATGCCCTCCTGGCGCGAGGGCCCCGCGGGCCCCGCCGAAGAGGGGGCGCTCGCGGGGGGGCCAGCCTAAGTGGGGGGGCCGTCCAGCCGCGCCCAAAGCAGGAGGCGTGCAACGCCTTGTCAGTTATGATGATCATGGTCTAGCTCGCCATTGTATACCTCCCAACACGATGCGATAATGTCTCGACCGCGGCTGGGCCAAGCACGACACTCGTCATTGGTATTCGCTTAAATGTTGAGCGGGATGACGAAGGCAAGATCGCCCGCGCCAACAGAGGCAAGGGCACATATAAACAAGAGAACCTTCGAACACGGGACATTAAGAGGGCCGTCATTAATGACCGGAAGGAATGCCGTGGCTTCGTCGGTCCTTGCGAATATTTTGCCGACATCAGACCCACGTGTCCGATGGGGCGTCCATCGAGGAGCCCTAAGTCCAGGAGAGCCCCACGGGTCTGGTCTCGCGGTGATGGTCTGGGTCGCAGCGTGGATCCGACCGATGATTCACCTACAGAAAAGCGGAAGCTCACTACCAGCCGATTGCTGATAGAGATATCAATCGGATCGATCGAATCTGACAGCACCTCGCTCCGAATCACCCTCTCGAAGGATACAAGTGGGAATGTCATGCGGGGCAACCCGCTTCTCGCATGGAGGTGCTGCCCATCCAGAAGGTGATGAAAAGGGGCTGGTCGCGTGGTCCATGCCAAAGCAGTGGGCCCCGCTGTGGCCGCTCCTTCCGGGCCCGACCCAGAGTCTGACTCGTGCTACTCCGACTCGGCCTACAGCCCTGAGGCGGAAGATACCCACGATATTGACGCACAAATAGATGATGATGACATGACAACAGAAGACATGGATCTCACCCCGGGCAGGATAATCTCCTGCCGTTCGCTGCAGGGGGGCAGGTTGGATAACTGCCCCTGTTAGAAGAAGGGCTCGAGTTGATATATGCTCTGTTCCCAACGTCTTGCTGTGTTCTCGAGGGCGACCGCCCGTCGTCATCCACCGATGTGATGGGTTCCACTGCTGTTCTGGCTCTTAGCTGCAACGGCCACCCCGCGGGCTCCGCGGGCTGGATGTGGCATCGCCCTCTGGACCTCGGCGCCGACCTTGCGGCGGGGTATCTTGGCCGGTGCCCGCCGCAGCCGGCGTGCCCTCCGTGCCCGACCTGCGCGCTCAGCTGCGCGGTCGTCTCGTGCCCGGCGGCGGCGCCGTGCCCTGCTTGCCCCCTGGCCGCCGCCCAGGCGGCCCCGCCGGTCGCTGCCGCGCCGGCGGCCGCCTGCCAGGGGGCCCCGCCCGCCGCTGCGGAGCCAGCGGGCGCGGAGACCCTGTGCGTGTGCTGGGTGCGGGCCTGGCTCTGCCTGGGGCTGCTTATCGGGGTGGCCCTGGCGCTCGGCGCGCAGCTGGCCCTCGGCGCTGTGAGGCGGCTCGTGTTCGCCACGTCCCCTAGCGGGGGGAGCGGCAGGGCCGTCCTCAGGTATCTCGACGTGCAGGGTGAGCAGGATCTCATCGCCACTCCCTAGTCTCTGAGGAGGCGCAATGGCGGCGGCGGCGGCGCTGGCGCTTGACGTGCCAGAGCGTCAGATACTTATAGATTTCTTCGACGACCCGAACGGGTTTAGATGGCATGTGCGGTTGCTAGTGCTGGCGACGCCCAGCCCTGGGCAGTGGATCGCCTGCGCGCCCGACCTGAGCATTCAGTTCCTGGGCGCGACGGCCCACGGGGTGACCCCGCTCGCCCGCAGCTCGGAGTTCCCGCGGCGCGCGCGGGGCGAGGTCTACGCTGTCGACCCGATCGGCGCCGAGGTGCTGCTGCAGATCCGCCGGGAGGCCAAGGAGCTCTTGGCGGTGCACTGGCTCACCGGTGCCGCCGACGCGCAGCCCGAGGGCTGCCGCTGGCTCATCGCCGACGCGCCCCGCACCAACTTTGGCGACCCCGTGCCTCCCGCCGCCCTGGCCGATCCGGAGTCGGTCGTCATCCGCGAGGATTCGGGCTTGGCGTGCGCGGACGGGGTCTGGGTCGCCATCCAGCGCGTCGCCGACGAGGACGTCGACGACTGGCGCCTCCAGAAGGCATCCGGCGCAGGCCGCGACCGACGGCTGCTGGGCGACGAGCGGATCGGCGGTGTGCCGGCGCTCTCGTTGGCGGCGGCCGTCAAGATCAGCGAAAGGACCTTCCGCCCCGGATGGCCCTTCCGCGGCGCCTCGTCCTCTCCCGAGCTGGCGACGGCGCTCGCGGCCGCTGGCATCGTCTTCGTCGCGCGCCACCCGGGCTGGAGGGCGAGGTCGGGCGTGGGTGGCTCGTCAGGTGCGTGCCGCACTCATCGCATGATCTGTGAGGGCCTCGACCGCTCGATCACCTGCGACCAGCTCGACTACGCCGACTGCGCGGTGGTCGACCACCTGGCCCGCTGGCTCCTCGAGGTGGAGGCAGCAGTTCGGCGCGGCCCGAAGGCGCCGGACTCCTCCAACCTAGAGGGCATCTTCGCCGCGCCCGAAGCGGTGGACGGCCGCGCGTAGCTCCGGAAGTTCGCGAAGTGGGCGTCGACGCTGCGCCGCGACGAGGCGCAGATCACGAAGCAGGAGCGGCTCTGGAACGAGGAGGTGGGCATCTCCCACGAGACCGCGAAGGACGGCAAGGGCAGGGACATGAGCGGCAAGGCCGGCACGGCCGGCAAAGCCGCCGACTCTGCCGATGCCTAGGGGCCCTGGGCCCCGGGGCGCCCAGGTCAATGGGGCAGGAGCGTCGGCGACACCTGCTCCAACAATGCCATCTGCCTGGGCGCCCCCCTCGCCGCCCCCCTCGGTCAGCTGCGCTTCGAGATGTGCTTCGGGGTGGGCGGTGGCCTGTGCTCTTGCTCCAGCATGGGCGGGCTTGGCGGTCCGACGACGCCGGGGGTGGCCCTCGACTTGGCCCGGCCAAGGACTACCGCGCCATCCAGGGGCACTGGCACGTTGGTTTACGCAGTAATCACGCAGATGTGGTAGATAGTAGATGTGGTCTCTCTGCAACGTGTCCAAGAACCGACCAACATCATTTGCGACGACTGCGCGCGATTACCAGGGAGCTGCAGGCCTGCCCTAAGAAGATCGTCTATCGATCGATGATTCCAACGGGCAAAGTTGACCTGCAGCGTAACTCTTGGCTCTTGACGCCTGAGTGGAGCTGCCGATGACGAGGTCGAAGGCTATGGTATTTGAGGGGCAAACCTGCTACGGCGTGGAAACACGCCAACGGGTGCGCCTGTCGTCCATCTGATCGATGCGCGCTGCAAGTCTCGTCGCTTGCAGGTCCGCTCAAGCTAGTCAGCAGAAGCACTGGCAGCGGCCCACTACTTGGAGGACTGCTATCCCACGATCGTCACTCGGCGCGAACTCCACGCAGGGCCACTGACACGTACTCAGTGGAAGGATATACAGGAGATGGGTGGCCTGAGCATTAAGGTTACTTTGACCATAGATGCAGAGTGTGTCTTCACGTCCTTGTCAAGCGAAGACCTGAAGAAACCGACTGAATGTACTAGTGTACTTTTAAGGACACGTCAGTTGGATACGACAGATGATGGAGCGAGGAACCGTGCATCGTATCCAGTGGTGTGACACTCGCTATATGACCGTGGACGGTCACACCAAGGGGAGCATTGACAGAGATATGTTCCTACAGTTAACGGGAGGAACACAATCCTTCAAGCGTGACATAAAACGTCATACTCCGTGCCGGGGCGGCCAGACAACATCGCTTGAGGCCTCCTGAGTCGCGCTCGCTTTGGAAGCGAACTGCTCGCGAGGCAACTTGCGCGCAAGGGCGATTGCTTGCGGGTTCATCTTCTTTACGAACCCGCCTTTTGCTGCTTTTTGTATGGATCAAGTTTATTGTTGAAGGGCGGCGAACTCACGCTTCGTCTCTCTGAGCTGGGACAAGGGCGAGAGATAGCGATCGTTTGTCCGTGGCCGCTTGGGCTCAAGCGGCCGGCCGCCAACACGTGACTGCGCTTCATTGCGAGGCATACTGCTTGCCATCGAGACCGAAAGCGTCCTTTGCTTGAGATGGCCCTTCGCTCCCGCGACGGCCTCCTCCGAGTGGGACTATCGTTACTACGGTACAACAGAGCTGGAGCTGCCCTCGCCAGGGGCGAAGCTTCTGGTCGGGCCTCCCGGCCGCCTTCAAACTCGTTTCCGTCGGGAGCCCCCTGAAAAAAAAAAAAAAAAAACCAAACTAGTGCCAACAGCATAATAAAACCAGTGACTTTGGCTTCCAAGCCGAGGCCGTTTTGGACGCTCCAACGACCCGCGAAACGACCCGTCCAGGTCCAGGGTAGGGGTAAGAGGGAAGGGCGAATCCCTCCCAAGTCGGGCGTGTCCCTCTACAGGAGGAGAATCAGAACAATAATCAAAACATAGTTTGGGGACGGATTTCCAATTTTTTCGTTTTGGGAAATATATTTGACAATTTTTCTGTCTAGTTTAAAAATCCGCGTGTAGGAACCGACCAAAGCCCAGACCACCTTCGCCCAGAGGTCTGGTGAGACTCCCTTCCTCCCCCTTCCTTCCCTCGGCCGCCCCTCCACGAGGCCTCCGATGCTTCGGCCTCGGCAGACGCCGCGTGCGCCGCCGACTGTGGCGCGGCCGGGCCAAGGCCGGTCGTCGTCGTCGACGTCGTCGTCGCCGTCGCTGTCGGCGTCGTCGTCGTCGTCGCCGCCGCCGCCGCCGTCGCCGCCGCTGGCGGCGTCGTCGTCGTCGTTGTCGTCGCGGATCAAGGCTTCGGGTTGCAAGGCCGTGTTTTGTGTGGTGCGTTTTCTATCTTGGCGTGCGGGCCTCTCGGGGACCCCCAGGGCCGCCGAGGGTGGCGTGTGTCCGCCTCGGGGCGTCGTCTTCTTGTCGGGGCGCGTGGTCTCCCGGATCGGTGTGTCCAGAGCTGAAGCCGGGCGCGGTCGGAGGAGCTAGTCGGGCGGGGCTAGACGAGGGAGGGAGGAGGAAGAGGAGGAGGAGGAGGAGGAGGAGGAGGAGGAGGAGGGGGACGAGGAGGAGGAGGAGAGGAACCGGAGGAGAAAAGGAAAGGAGGAGGAGGAGGAGGAGTGAGGAGGAGGAGGAGGAGGAAGGAGGGAGGAGGAGGAGAGGAGGAGGAGGAGGAGGAGGAGGAGGAGGAGGAGGAGGAGGAGGAGGAGGAGGAGGAGGAGGAGGGGGAGGGGGCGGGGGAGGGGGAGGGGAGGGGGTAGGGGGAGGGGGAGGGGGAGGGGGAGGGGAGGGGAGGGGGGAGGGTGGGGGGAGGGGGAGGGGGAGGGGGAGGAGGGGGGGGAGGGGGATGATGATGATGATGATGATGATGATGATGATGATGATGATGATGATGATGAATGATGATGAGGAGGAGGAGAGGAGGGGAGGAGGAGGAGAGGAGGGGAGGAGGAGGAGGAGGAGAGGAGGAGGGAGGAGGAGGGGAGGGGAGGGAGGAGGAGGGGAGGAGGGAGGGGAGGGGGAGGGGACAAGCTAGGTGCGCTCGCGTCATATCTGACGTCCTACCCCTCCCTCCCATCCCTTACCATGGCGCTGATTTTCTCTATCCGCGGACGCGTGTCGTAGCGGACCTGTGGCTCCGCGCGCGCGTGCGTAGTGGGTGGTGGTGCACGTGCGGGCGTGCGTGCGTGTGTGCGTGGTTGTCGTGGTGGTGGTGGTGGTGGTGGTGGTGGTGGTGGTGGTGGCGGTGTGTGGGGGTGTTGGTGCTGGTGCTGGTGGTGGTTGTGGTGGTGGTGGTGGTGGTGATGGTGGTGTGGTGGTGGTGGTGGTGGTGGTGCGGCGCGGTGGTGGCGGGCGGATGGGCGCGCGAGAAAGAGGCCCGCGCTGGGGCGAGAACGCCATCCTGAACGACGGAGGCCAAGCACCGATCCGAAAATGAGGCCCTCGCTGCAGCGGGAGCACGATTCGGAACGATTCGGGAGCAGAAATGAGGCCGGCGCCTCAGCGAGAGCAACATTTTGGAAAAAAACGCAGGCGAAAATCCGTTTCCCGGGAATCCTGTGTGTAAAATTATCCCGGCAAAGCAACCTAACAGCGATGTGCAGAAGCATATATGGAAACATTCCCGTTAAGATCCAGATGAGAATCCAGTTGTAGAATTCTCCTGTTCTCGCAGTCGCAGTCGCATTCGCGATGACAGTCGCAGTGGCAACGGCCGTCACAGTCACAGCCTCAGCCTCAGCAAGCCTCAGTATCAGCCTGCCTCAGCCTCAGCCTCAGCCTGCCTCAGCCTCAATCTCAGCCTGCTTCAGCCTCAGCCTCAGCCTCAGTCTGCCTTCAGCCTCGGCCTCAGCCTCAGCCTGCCTCAGCCTCAGCCTGCATCAGCTTCAGCCTCAGCCTCAGCCTCAGCCTCAGCCTGCCTCCGCATCAGCCTGCCTCAGCGTCTGCCTCAGCCTGCCTCAGCCTCAGCCTCAGCCTGCCTCAGCCTCAGCCTCAACCATTTCCTCAGCATCAGCCTGCCTCAGCCTCAGCATCAGCCTGCCTCGGCCTCAGCCTCAGCCTGCTTCAGCCTCAGCCTCAGTCTGCCTACAGCCTCGGCCTCAGCCTCAGCCAGCCTCAGCCTCAGCCTGCATCAGCCTCAGCCTCAGCCTCAGCCTGCCTCAGCATCAGCCTGCCTCAGCCTCAGCCTCAGCCTGCCTCAGACTCAGCCTCAGCCTGCTTCAGCCTCAGCCTCAGTCTGCCTTCAGCCTCGGCCTCAGCCTCAGCCTGCCTCAGCCTCAGCCTGCCTCGGCCGCAGCATCAGCCTGCCTCAGCATTCAAAATGTGGCCCAGGAACAGAGTTCTGGGAACTAGAAGAACACGAAGTGGCCTACAGTTGGCTCCCGGCATTCAAAATGTGGCCCGGGAATGAAGTTCTGGGAGTTTGAAAAGCACGAAGTGGCCTTCAGTTGGCTACGGGCATTCAAAAT